AAAAAAAAAAAAAAAAAAAAAAAATTAAAAAAATTTTGTTTAAGGTAGACAACATCAGTTAGTCTAGTATAAGAAGCTCAGTAAATTCACTGACAGTAAAGATGAAACCTCCAGTTAATTCTCCTAAGAACCAGTAAACAAAATTAGAGGAAAACCTTAAACTTAAAAAAAGTTTAATGATAAAGACATAGTGATAGAAATTATTAAATTTTCTTATGAATGCAGCATCCGAGGATACTCTCCATGTTCATGGCTCCCAGCCCTTCCCTCCAGGCTGATGCGGCAATTGGAGGCCCACCAAGCCAGCAGACTCCTCCACTGAGCGCTCACCCTTGCCATGAAATTCCTGATGTAGGGCCACATGTTCCCGGATGCTACGCAGGAGGCAGAGATAGGTGGCAGCTTGGAAATGAAGCTCATGTTGGGCTCTGCACAACTTTTCACTGGTGACCTGGAGAAGCGGCAAGTCAGAAGCTCTTAACCCAGCTACAGATAGAGGTCCACAGAGAAAAATTTAATAAACAAGCATTCTCTAGAATGAAAGTAAATTACACAGAGGAAATACAAACATGTATATATATATACATGTATACTTAATACATCTACAGGGGCACTCTATGATTATTAGTAAAGCTGACCTCTAGTTCTCATTTTAAAAAGGAGTTACATTGAATGTTCCTGACTTTGGTTAATGTGGCATATATCTTTCATTACAATGAAAACTGAAACCTTATTTTGTCTGAAAAATAACTTTGTACTAAATAGTAACAAATGAAGGTTTTATATATATAAAAGTAGTATGCTTATGTTCATATTATTTACTACAATTGGCCCTCCATATTCATGGGTTCTGCATCTTTGGATTCAACCAATTTCTGATCAAAAATATTCAGAAAAAAATAAAAGGATAATCGTGTCTTACCAAACATGTTTTGTCATTATTCTGTAAACAATGTAGTATAACAACTATTTATATAGCATTTACATTGCATTAGGTATTATATTCTAGAGATGACTTAAAGTATACAGAAGGATGTGCATTGCAAAATACTATAGCATTTTATGTTAGGGACTTGAGCATCCATGGATCTTGGTATCCTTGAGTGGGGTTGGGGGGTGTCCTGGAATCCATCCCCACTTACTGAGGAATGGCTGTTCTTGCTCTCACAATTTACTTATCTATCTGAAAAATCTGGACTCAAATGACTTTAAGAAGCTAGAAACTCCATATCCATTCCAAAGTCCCCAAATGACTCCAAACCTTGTTTTTTCTTCATCACACTTAACTTTTGAGATTAAGTCAGTGTACTCTCTTTGACTAGTTCTGTATTCAAGGCTGTGAGAAAGAGGCAGGAAAGGTGAAATGGGGGTGTGTGCATAGCTCTGAGTGACTAAAGGAGCCATGTCCAAGTATGGATTAATCTGGGTACCACCGCCAACATAATACCCCCAACTTTTTTTCTTTTTTTTTTTTTTTTTTTGAGACAGGGTCTCACTTTGTTGCCCAGGCTGGAGTGCAATGGCGTGAACATGGCTGTCGACCATTTTTTATAGAGACAGGGTTTCACTATGTTGCCCAGGCTGGCCTTAAACTCCTGGGCACAAGCAATCCACCCGCCGCTCCCTCCTAGAGTGCTGGGACATGCATGAGCCACCGCTCCTCGCCTAATCCCCTTTCTCTGTTTGAACATTTAGTGTTAGAATCCGAAAACTAGAATGTACGTGGCTTCTTGGTTTTTGAGACAGGGTCTCGCTCTGTAGCCTAGGCTGGACAGCAGTGGTATCAACATAGGTCACTGCAACCTTGACTTCCTGGGCTCAAGTGATCCTCTCACCTCAGCCTCCCAATTAGCTGGAACTAGAGGATGGGTCACCACGCCTGGCTAACTTGAATTTTTGTAGAGAGGAGGTCTCACTACACTATGTTGCCCATGCTGGTGAATGTGGGTTTTAAGATCTGCAGATCATGTTGAAAGCAACATACATTAGCTGCTTAAAAACAGAATTAATAAGCTTTAATACAAATTTTTTAGTAATTTAAGTTTTATGAGAAACCAACACCAATGTCAAGCATTAACAAATTGTAGCATCCAAGGCCAGGCGCAGTGGCTCAAGCCTGTAATCCCAGCACTGTGGGAGGCCGAGGCGGGTGGATCACGAGGTCAAGAGATCAAGACCATCCTGGTCAACATGGTGAAACCCCGTCTCTACTAAAAATACAAAAAATTAGCTGGGCATGGTGGCACGTGCCTGTAATCCCAGCAACTCAGGAGGCTGGGGCAGGAGAATTGCCTGAACCCGGGAGGCAGAGGTTGCGGTAAGCCGAGATCACGCCATTGCACTCCAGCCTGGGTAACAAAAGCGAAACCCCGTCTCCCCAAAAAAAAAAAAAAAACAACAACAACAAATTGTAGCATCCATTCCTACTAATATTATATAAGCCCAAATTTGTGGAATTTGATATAGGAATTCTATATTAACATAGGATAGAATACTGACCTTGATTCAGTTGAGCCTGAATCATGAGGACAGAAGGGTCAATAATAGACAGGAAACAATAAATATATCACAAGAAACCAAAAGAGATCAAATGAAATAGAATACTGCATTTTCCCTGTGGAGAAAGGGGAGGTTTCTTCCTAACAGAATCCCTTCTCCCAAGGGAAGGGATAGAGAAAATGGGACGGCTGAGTTAGCGCTGAGCCTTAAGGAAATATAAACCATTTCCCCTAGGCTTAAATGCATTCCAGAGTGGTGTTTCCAGAATGTACCATGAATTTCAGAACCATAGCCAAGTCTCTCTCAAGGGTAATAATGTTGTCTCTGTAAAATATAATTATAATCATGTCACCTCCTTAAAAGTCTTAGAATGCCTTCCCATTACACTTACACTAAAGTTTAAATTCCTGTTCTGCCTACCACCTCATCTACCTCCACTTCACCCACCACACCCGTAAGGGCTAAACCATTCTCAATTGGCAATCTTTCTTTCCTCTGGACTTTCAATTGTGCAGTTTTTAAACCTGGACCCTAACCCCAATTTACTTGCTAACTCCAAATTAGCCTTTCAGGTCCCTGATTAATTTCCTCCGGAAAACCTTCCCTAACCTCTTCTTTATATTCCAGCACGTGTTGTCTACACGTTGAGCACTTATTTATTCTAACTGCTTTACTGTATCGCTCCTAAGGTGGGCATCAAGCGTCTTAAAGAACAGGGCCCATAAGCATCTGATTTTTCCCATTTAGATCAGGTTCCTAGCACAGTCCCGAAAGTTGTCACCTTTTAAAAACTAGGTGAATTTTTGGCCGGGCGCGGTGGCTCAAGGCTGTAATCCCAGCACTTTGGGAGGCCGAGGCGGGTGGATCACGAGGTCAAGAGATCGAGACCATCCTGGTCAACATGGTGAAACCCCGTCTCTACTAAAAATACAAAACATTAGCTGGGCATGGTGGCGCGTGCCTGTAATCCCAGCTACTCAGGAGGCTGAGGCAGGAAATTTCCTGAACCCAGGAGGCAGAGGTTGCGGTGAGCCGAGATCGCGCCATTGTACTCCAGCCTGGGTAACAAGAACGAAACTCCGTCTAAAAAAAAAAAAAAAAAAACTAGGTGAATTTTAGTTTTGCATTCTGACGTCCATGGCTCAGAAATTCGACAGTGAAGATGATGATTCCCTTTTACCACATTGCTCAAGGGCAGCAAGTTTCCTTCCCTAAAGCCCAGTTTTTCTTTTCCGCCTCAAAAAAAAAAAAAAAAACCTCTCAGAATAATTTTTCTAGGGGAAGGCTGAGGAGCTTGTTGGCCAGATGCTGTGGCTTTAAGTCTAGTGACAGTACACCCTTCAAGTCTATCTACATTCTTTTACCCCCTGCATTTTCTCTATTCCACTTTCCTGACTTTCCCCTCCGCACAGACAACAGAGGAGCCAATGAAATAGGTCGGGATGGGTCCGCCCCTCTGGAGGACACTGACGTCCCCAGAGCGACTCTGAGCCCCAAGCGGTCCTTTAGTCCCTGCGTTTACGCCAGAGCTCCGAGCCTCGGCCCTGGGTTGGTCTGGTCGGAATGAGGGCTCCGTGGAAGGGTTGGCCTCAGAAATGCAGAAATTATACATCGTGCTCCCCACCCCGGTCCAGACCCGACTCTCCCTCCCTCCCCAGCAGGTGGAGCACCCCGGACATGGCTCCCGTACCCGATGTGCACGGAAAGCCTTCACGAGGTACCGATAGGCCGCGGTGTCGCGATAGGGTCGGCCGGTGGCCGCGCTCAGGTAGCGCAGCTCCCGCAGAAGTCCCCGCAATGTGCGCGCCGGAGACCCTAAGGCCGCCATTTCCCTGTCCTTCTCCGAGCCTGGTGACCGACGGCGTCCTACGACCTCCCGCCTGGGCCCCTAATGGTACGGTCGGACCGACTACCGGCTCCCCCTATCGACTAACGAGCAGTGGAACGGCTCATTTGTCCATTGTACATTAATCGAAGGCCGAATTGCGCCCTAGCAAGAAAAGCAAACGAAAGCCGAGTGTTAACTGGCGGTACCAGGTCCTCCAACCCCGAAAAAGGGATTGGAGAAATGGGGGCCTTTCTTCACTGCGTCATTGAAGATGCCCCTTAGCACACCAACTGCCGAGTCTCAGGAGAAGTGGGCCCGGCTTGGGGGAGTGGGTGTGGATTTGATACGGAACACGCTGAGAAGATATTTTTAAATGATTTCTAAAAGGGATATCAAAATTCAACGTATTGACAGACTTCTCCCCAAATCCCAGGGGACCTGCGGCTCACAGAAAGGACATGGGAGTATGCTGATTCTGGAAAGTTGCAGCCCACCAGCTAGTAAAAACACACATACACCCTTCCCGTTAAAAAATAAATAATAAAGTTGGCATACTTCGCTTTGTTTGGAAAGGAAAAAAGTGTTTTGAAGGCCAAAAAAAGTAAAAACTCAGCTCACCCCAGATGGGACTCGAACCCACAATCCCTGGCTTAGGAGGCCAATGCCTTATCCATTAGGCCACTGGGGCTTCTATGAGCGACGCCCTCACACAACATATTCAATTATTTTCTTCTTTGGTACGTCATCGCCATTTCACTTTCGTCTTACCCTATCCCACGAAACCACACCTAGGGCCCACGTGAGGGGTGAGGTATGCTGGGAGTTGTAGTTAGAGAACAAAAGTCCACATTACAACGCCAAAGGATTTACCCTCTAAATTGCACCGATGCTCCGGACGTTGAACGGGCGCGCGCACGCTTCTGCGTTAGCCCTTGCCTGCGCATTCCCCGCGCCTGCGCAAAAACGGGATTGTGTTGTCGCGGAGCAGAGCGCGCTGGGCAAACTGGCCGGATCTTGGAGACTCGCCTTCTGAACGTTAGCTCCGTTGGGTTTCCACCGGAAACAGCCGGACCTTTTCCGGTGTTGCGACTTTCCGGGCGGAGCTTTGCCCCAGTCGCCAGTTAGGTGGCGCCTGCTGCGGTCAGTTTCTGCTTCCGGTTGAAGCGTTGAGGCTATTTCCGCAGAGCGGGTGGCGGGTTTAGAAATATGTGGCGTGTCCTTTGAATTGGCGGGTCATTGGTAAACATGGGACAGCGGGGAAGTAATAGTACACTGACTGATTAGGAATTTGTTAATTTAAAAAATTAGTAGTTCATTTTTTGGTTCCGTTCCTAATTCTGTAACTTGAACAAATTACTTCAGAATCCCAGTGAATTTACCCTTACTTATATCTCAGGGCCTCCGCATTGTCCCTAAGATAAAGTGCAGACGACATAAATTGATCATCGCTTATATCTTAGTCTTCATCTTTCACTGTTTGTTTCTTGTCGCTCACTGCTCCAGGTATCTGCACTGTGTTTCTTCCCCGCCACACACCTTACATGTTTAACTCCCTCTGGCTGAAACTTAACCATTTGTGTTAATATTACTGTTTACCCTTTGGGCTTCAGCTTACTCTGGAAGTCTAGGTTAGACTCTTTTCTAGGCCCTTTAGGTCAATAAGGCAAGCTGAAAATGATTCACTTCTCCTCTGGTCCCTTGTTGCTCCCTTTATTTACTCATCATAAATAACTATTCTGGTAGGTACAAGGCCACCACTGCATATTGTAGTCAGTCTCCTCCATCAGACTGGGAAATTGTTCAGCTCCGAAAGCCCTGTGCCTCACAGAAAAGACTTTCTTCACCAGGCTGACTGCTGGGTAGCATAGTCATAACAGCTTAGTCTGAAGTTCCTAATGGGATTGGCACCGTCTGACCCCAGTGGCTAGGAGACATAAGCTATTGAGCAGGAATGACAAACACAAATGGTACATTAATGAATAAAGATGGCTTGTTTGGAAACCTGGTGAACTGGGTAGCAGCTAGCCCACCTGTCCAGGGGGCAGCCATTACTCACTTCCGCTGATTGTTTCCATTTTAGGAAAGCAAATCCTTTTAAAAAACAATTTTTTAGGGCCGGGCGCAGTGGCTCAAGCCTGTAATCCCAGTACTTTGGGAGGCCGAGGCGGGTGGATCACGAGGTCAAGAGATCAAGACCATCCTGGTCAACATGGTGAAACCCCGTCTCTACTAAAAATACAAAAAATTAGCTGGGCATGGTGGCACGTGC